CGCTTGACCATTATTGGGTCGTGATAAATCGTATACCTGATCGAATTGTTGAGTTCTATGGTACTGGATTACGACAACATACCCTAAATGTGCCAGGGCCCATCGCTGAAGACGATCCACAGAATGAGCTGGTATGCTATACTTTGACTCAAATATTGCTAGCAGAGACTTTTGATATGTGAGATGAATAATAGGTAATAAGTCTCTAAATACTTTACCGACTGCAAGAAGAACTGGCATATCTCTGGGCGAAACTTCAACCTGTTATCACTGATGCTCTGCTCTAGCAACAAATCACGTTCTTGTAGTCCTTCTATTGTCGTCGCAACAATTAGAATGTCATCGAGAGGATGGTAACCATTATTTGCTGGAAGATAGATTGAGAGGTCTTGACTCCAAAAGGCAAACGGTTATACTGGAACAAACTACGATGAGTATTGATAGTAAGCAGATCTTTAGATTCTTCATCTACTTCCACTTGCAAATAAGCATCGGCTAGATCGAGCTTTGTGAAAATCCTTCCCCCATTCAGCATTATAAACAGATCCGCGTTGGCGGGCACAGGATAATGATGCTGTTCCAAGGATGCATTGAAATCTGTAGAAAAGTCGGCACATATACGTTTCGTGCCGTTGGCCTTCTTGATAACGAATAACAGGCTGCTCAAGCAGAGTGAGAAACGGGAGTAATACTCCTTATCAATAAAGGCGATTCGATTCTTCATCTACTGTTGCTAATGTTGCAAAAGGGACGGGACTCTTTTAATGGAAAACAGGCTAAGCTCTAGGTATCAGTTGAAGTGTTGCTTTCATGGCAGAAAACCGACCTTATCCAGGTTGGAAAATGGTTGAAAACAGTGTCGTTAGCTTCCTCGTGTATGCATCAGGGTTATGTGGTCCTGAAATTGGCTAGCATATGGTATTTAATGGGACATCAGTCTGTTTTAGATGTTCAAACCAATCTAAACCAAATAAATTTGGATCAGCTGGCCTTATATAACATACCTTAGTAAACGACGAATTTCGGAAGGTAACTTTACATTGCAATTGTCCTAACAGATGAAGGTAATTACCATATGCTCTGCGAGGCTTCTGTGTTGTCTGCTGAAGACTTGGGCTGCCCAATTTGGTCCAATTTTTACGTGAGAGGATGCTGACGTCAGATGCGGTATCTATTTGCAATCTGAACGGATGCCCATTAACATCAAGAGTAATAAATTTCCTCTCACCATGTTATGAGCTTTGATAGGAAGATATTAGGGTCAATGAATTGGAATCGGATCTAGGAACAGACATCTTGGCACTCCTGGATCGGTTTGACTTTCTCTTGAAACAAAATCCATCTTTTTGACCGACGACCTTACTCTTCCTGCATCAAAGTTGTTCAAATCGGCAGTTTCGTACAAACTGACGTGAGCCGCAGTGTCAGCAAGTAGCAGGGTGATTTGTTTTCGTCTGTCGGACTGAGCTGAATTTGGATGGACTGGGTGCAGCAGGGCACATTTGTTATGGTAAAGTGTGTTGCCCCAACCAATCTGAACCATTGTGGTGTCTCGTTGCAGATTGATGGGGCTTTAGTATTTATTGACGATATAACCAAGCGTGCGTTTATGATGTTGATCCGATCGACAGTGCAGCCGTTTTTTAATGACGCTGAACTTTTGACACTGGAGGCTGAAAATGTAGATGAAGGCTTTAAACTACTCTTCATATAAAGACTTCAACCGGAAATATTCGCATTCACATGCGGGAGGAAATCATCATCTTCGTCTATAATTATCTTTAAATATCGGAAACGAGTATTAAACAATGACGAGTCGTCTCCGAAATGTTGACTTAATGTCTGGACTGTGTCTGAGAATGAGCGCCCACGTGGTTTCAAAAGCAGGATCAAATTACACTAGTTATCCAGTTCACTTGCACCCAACTTTCTAAGCAGAAGCCGAAGATTCCAAGAATCATCTTGATTGGCGAAATCATATGTAAACAGATCTTAAAATCGCCGGAACCACATTCCAATAGTAAAGTTGGTATCATGATCATAATGAAACTCAGCAATGCTATTTGCGATGCCGTCAACTGGTAGTACTGTGGTTGCGCACCAAAGAGCAGGTTTTTTTCTTATGATTCTGCACATTGCAACTAACTGATCTCCGCTCTGGCAATGTGATAGCTGCTGGTTTCCAGAAACCCTACTGCCCTAAAACAAACGTTTTCATTCAAATCACTGAACGTACAAACTCACAACCAACTGTCGACTGACTAGAATTAGACAGTCTAGTGGCTAGAACACCATTCATTGGATACTACCACACTTGGAACCGTACAGAAAGAACAAGAATCGAGCGCACAGCAAGACGCACGCGCTTCGAATTTGACATGTCCTCGCTGACTCACTTCCATCAACTTTCGGGATACATTATCAAGCTAGCTGCCAGAATAGAGGCAACCCCGAAACATCTGTTTAGGTTCATGTCCAAAAGAAAACCTACAAATCAAGGGTTGTGTTCTCTCAAAGGACCAAACGGGGAAGACCTGATCAACCTAGAAATGGACGAGAACTTCAACACCACCTTTGCTGATCAATTAGATCAGGCGCCTACATGTTCAGAGTATTACGCCAACCCAATGCCGGCTGACGGCTTAGGGAACATCTGTATCACTCCTGACCTAGTATTAAAGAAACTAAAATCCTTACGCCCAGGTAAGTCACCAGGTTGTGACAACATCCGCCCTATAGTCTTTCAACAGTGTGCCGAAGTCCTCTGTTCACCGTTATGCAACCTGTTCAGGCATTCACTGGAGTCACACCAATTCCCAGCTGAATGGAAACAAGCTACTCTCTCTCCAATCTTCAAAGGAGGAGATAGAAAGGACCCAGCCTGTTACAGACCAGTCGCACTACTACCTATATTATCAAAGGTTATGGAAGGACTAGTGGACAAACAAATGAGGGAGTACATGGATAAGAATAAAATACTCCATGAAGCTCAACACGGGTTTCGGAAAGGCAGGTCGTGTGCATCTAATCTTCTCATCGCATGGGACAGTTGGACATCCTGCTTGGACCGTAAAATACCAGTGCACGTAGTATTTCTCGACTTCGCAAAAGCCTTTGACACAGTGCCGCACGCACGCCTAATCGAAAAGGTTGTGGAAATGGGCTTCACTGACCCACTTCTATCTTGGCTCAGAAACTACCTTGAGAATAGAAAGTTTCGCACCAATGTAAACAGAATGCACGCGAGTTGAAGAGTGTGTACATCGGGAGTTTCAGAGGGGACCATCCTAGGTCCACTTCTCTTCCTGATATTTATTAATGACCTGCTAGGCTCAGTTAGCTCACCGGCATTGATCTACGCAGACGATGCGAAGATCTAAAGATCCATTAGAAGCGAAGAGGATTCGACTGAGCTTCAAAAGGACCCTACATCCATTGAGAAATGGGCAGTGAAAAACGGTTTAAAACGCAACCAACCGAAGTGCCACGTCATGCATTTCCTGTCTCATATGACGCAAACGACCTACACTCTCAATGGATGTCCGCTCCCAAATGTCTCCTGAGAGCGTGAACTTGGTTTAATAACCACAGAAAGCCTCCACACGAGTCCAAACTATGTAAAGGATGCAGCCAAAGCAAATGCGACTCCTCACTTTATGCGTAGACAGCTTGGTGCTATCACCCCGAAATTATTTTTAATCCTTTTTAAGACGTACACTAGCCCAAACTTGGAGGTTCACAACGTCATCGCACCCCCTCTGCCTAAAAGAGACATTAATCTCTTGGATCCAGTGCAGAGACGAGCAACGAAGTGAGTGATAGGGTTGGAAAATAAACCGTACGACGATAGACTCCAGCTCTTGGGATTATTCCCACTGAGCTACAGGAGAATTAGAGGCGTACACCATATTAAACACGCCAAACCATCCCAATGTGAGCATCTTACCGATGCATCACCACCATTCCCTTTGAGGCAATCCTCGAAAGATTGCACACCAAAGAGCGAATACTAAGATTCGTGCACACTTTTTCTCAATGAAAGTCGTCGCAACTTGGAATGCTCTCCCAGCCGAGTTAGTTACACCCCCTCAGTGGACTGCTTAAAGAAGAGACTTGATAATCACGTACTCACATACGGACTATCATCTCCCTCTTGGACAAGCTGTTCATGATGCATATCTTGAGACCTGCTAGTTAGTATCATTGCCATCTCTTCAGATCACTCAATTAACCTATCTCGCCTATTATCTCTGCTTCCTCTCCCTTGCTTACACTTCGGTCCTCTGTCACAATCCTCACTTCCAATTAACAAACTAAATTCATCTATATATTACTCAGTTCTGAAATTTTATTAATATCGTCATTTTAATTTTATCCTTATTTCCCTTATTACTCTCCACATTGCAACTAACTGATCTCCGGTCTGGTAATGTGACGGCTGTTAGTATCCAGAAACCCTACTGCCCTGAAACAAACGTTTCATTCAAATCCCGAGACATACAAACTCACAACCAACTGCCAACTGACTAGAATTAGCCAGTCGAGTGACTAGACCTCCATCCATTGGACACTACCGAACACCTGGAACCGCACCCAAAGAACAAGAATCGAGCGCGAAGAAATCAATTGGTTTGCACTAGCTCGTGAAAAAGATATTGGATATTAGAAATTCGGATTTCAAGGGCGATGCAAAATCTTAGTTTCCTAATGAGTTAACAAATACCAACAATTATTAGCTATTTTGAAAACACCGGTCGTTGTTGTTTTGTACGAAATCATAAAGGTTAGTGTTATCTCAATCAAAGCTAGCTATTTTTTTACTCTCAGTGTAAACATCCTCTTGCAGTCTCAAATTATAGTCACAATTTCAGAATCATTATGTGGAGATAGGTACGACAAACTTATTTTGTATTTATTCTGTTAATTTTTGACTGCTTTTACATTTGCTATTAAATGATTGTACATGTTGTTTAAGTATGTTACCTTGGAAACGAGTGGCGTTGACTACTCACCTTTTTCCATTCTGTTGTTCAGATAGCACGACATACGCTGTCTTCTCCCAACAAATAAAATTTAAACACATATTTCGTGTTCTCCATTGCTCATTAATGAGTTCTCTGGATTCTAATGCATATAATATCTACATTTATAGACTACAGTCACATTCATATCCTATTCTACGACGGAACATATAACTGGGATTACTTATCTCCCTTAATTTTGGATTTTGGTACCAAACGCAACTGAACACTTACAAGCAGCCGCATTAAGTAACGTCAATACATTTTTATTGTGTACATAACATTTAACTGATATATTTCGCTATATATCTTATTGTATTCAGTAACTTTTTTTAATATTTTGAAACAATATATCGTTTGGTCCACCACAATTCCACTTGTTAGCGAATCTTGTCATTTTAATGTTTCAAATTCTGAAATTTGAGGTACTCGTTCTCTAAGAAGGCTCATATGAACTTTAATGTGCTCAGATATGCGCTTGACGAATATACATCATCATTAATATATTCGCCTAGGCACTATACGGTTAACAGACTTCATAAAACTGGTATGATATAGTTATGTACGTAACAAGAGGTAACCTAATTCTCCCTGCTTCATCAATGCCACGGCATATTCGCAAAAACAGGAGTGCATATAGAGTTGAACAGGGTTTCTGTTATAAGAAAAATAACTGGCTGTAGTTGGTAATGAAAGTCTGATTTGACCGTTATGTAAGTGTAACCCTGTGAGTTTTAAACTAGAGCTGACAAACGTCAGTGCGAATATTCTATTTAACATGTAAGGTAATCTTACCAAAGATTATTGCTCCTTAAATATTCCTAATGGCATTTACTAGTATATGCCAATCTAGTGTATTGAAGTGATACACAATTTACAATGCTGTAAATTACCAACCTAAGACTATATTTCACAACGGAAAGGATATCTTTGTCTCCTTCGATCAAAAAGTCAGTATGACTGTTTAATCGAACCGTGACATGAAATTTACATCAAAATACGAAAAGAATGTCATTCGTAACATTCCACATAAGGACCTACTACATGCTTTCATTTGATTTCTTTACGCGAGCAATGCTTGTACTTGGTGTAGTGTGTTTGCTGAATCTGCATCAACTTAAACGGTTGAAACTTGTGGCTGTGGTCTATTATAACCGATTGATCTGGTCAATATAGAGCCATGTTTTGAACAGGCTAAGAGCAACCAGATGGCTACAAAGCATCATTTCTCGAAGTCGATAATGGTCGGTTTTGGCTATTTCGGTAGCAGCTGTTTTCCCGTACAGTGTTAATATATATTAGGAACTTGGTGGTGAAGACTATGTGAAATGGTCTGGAATCGGTCGCAGTCACGAAATTTATTCATTTTTGTTCATATTTGATATCTCCCGATATGTTCTACTTTTCCATCATTGTGCATAGATCTTCATATTCACCAATAATATTATTTCCATCTTGAAAATAAAACTCAAAGCTTTAAAATTAGTAGTGGTACATCTGAGAATGTCACAGATTCAGGGTTTGACAACGCTTCTCTCAGTAACACCTTTCAGACGATGAATACCGAAAACCTAGTCAAACCAAAAGTCGAGAATAAGAAAGGTCGAAGGCAAATCTAAAGGATGGTTGAAAAGTCGACAAGTGAGTTTTATAATCCTCCCAGTCGATGTGAGGAGATACGTTGCACAGCCTATTCAAAGATGATCTTGTACGGATGCATGAGCGAATAAGGTCAACGAAGTCGGCATCAACGTCGAACACTGATAAAATCTTTCATTTTCAGGATTCATATCTACCACTTCTGCCATAACCTTTAGCACAAGCTTATACTTCTGTCAGCTCACCAAATCCATCACTATGCGTTGCAGAAGTGTAATGAGGACTATTTGCGAACTAGGAGTATGGAATTAAGATGAAGGTAATCAAATAAAAGGTAACAAGACCCTGAATGTGTATGGGGCATCCATGACCTCCTGTTTGTTAGTTCCTAGCTATCTAACTCTCTGATGCACCGAAGATTCAACTCGTATTATTCACAACTCTCAACCTGACTCGAATGTAAGACGGCAATGGTTATATCCTGATTATTGCTGTGCAATTTTAAAACATAAACCTAATAATAATAGTGTTTGAATCAGTAAATATATGCAATTATTCTCACTAATTCCTCCAGTTTTATTACCTCAGCTGACAATTATCGAAAAGGTAAAAGGAAAACAACCCAACATCACAACTGCAAATAATATATTTTTCAAAAATCAGACACTTGATATACGGATTTTCTTCACAATGGACATTATTTAAATCTAAACATTTACTATTCAAGAGCAAACTTCATACTGAACATATGTTAAACAGACATCATCAGAATACAACAGAGTGGCGCACCTAAATTATCGAATATAAAACAAAACAGTTATCTGGTCGATCAGTACTCTTACTGAATTTCGCTTCTTTTCAATGCAACTTCACAACTCATTCATCAAGTGCCAGTCCATATACATGACGTACAGAGTATCAGTATCAACAAGGTGCCCAAGAATGTCGAAAAGTTAAAATACAATTTGTAGAATCATGAGTGGAAGCCATGTGATTTAACCACCAAGCTACCACATAGTTTTTCACAGTAAGCATACACTTCACTGTAATGAACAGGAACAATCAAGGTTTATGCCTGGCAAGTAGTTGTTTGTCCTTTATATTGCTAATCATCAATTTCCATCCACTTTCAGCTGTTAATACCCTGATGCTGTTTGCTTTTTTCTACTCAAAGGATCATAATGAGTTACATTCGAAATCTAACTCACAGAATAAGTGCAGTAGCAGTTGCAACAACGCTATTCACTGTCACGTTAATGCTCCAATCAATAATCGTCGTACATAACTACTCGTCTGTTTTCAAGAATGTTGCTAAATCAATTGATGCAGCTTATGTAAAGACAATCCCTAGCTTTTCTTCAGGTTTTGATGATTTCGAATATCCTATGATGGTGGATATGCCGAAAGTTGTCAGAAAAGTTCTTTCAAACTGGATCTTAACAATTCGTCCAATAAATGATCCACGATTTCCAATACTCATAGGTGAATATCAAAAGTGTGACAACATACTGCTGAAAGCAGGAGAGCATCTAGAGCTGTTGATTCTCATCAAATCTGCTCCATCAAACTATTTACACAGAGATACCATACGCCTAACATGGGGTAATGATCTTTGTTGGGGTGGACGTCGTGTCGTGCATCTTTTTCTTCTTGGAAATGTCCCATCTGACAGCACAGGTTTAAAATCTATATTAAAAAATGAATCCGATGTATATCATGATATCATTCAACAAGATTTTCTTGATACTTATTATAATAATACATACAAAACTATGTTTGGTATTAATTGGGCAGTGAAATATTGTTCAAAGGTCCCAATCATTATGTTTTTGGATGATGACTATTTTGTCTATCCGAAAAATGTGATCGCCTATATTGAAGGTTTGAGCACAGAGCTGCGTAAACGCTTGATCAGTGGTTATGTCTGGTTTAATGCTATACCTGCTCGTAAATCTTTCTACACTCACTCTAAATGGTCAATTGATTATAAAGAATATGCTGCACGTTTTTATCCTCCATTTGTGGCGGCAGGTAACTTTTTTCTATCAATGAATTTAGCACGTGAATTAAATGTCGCTATGCGTTACACAAAATATCTACGATTTGATGATGTTTATCTGGGAATAATACTTAGGAAATTATTACGTTTACCGATTCACTTAAGAAAGATTTATTCACATCACCCGGTGAAGTTGAATTCATCCGAGATATATGAAATGATTTCTAGTCTTGGTTTTGGCGAATCTGTTTCACAATTCTCCTTATGGAATCGTTTAAACTGCTCAACATTTTGTGTAAAATCTCTTGTATGATTTAATATTTTTGTCCTCTTTTATACTTCTTGATTTATATTTATCATGTTTCTCGTTTGTTTGTAAGTAATTTTGACGAGTTTGTCCAACTGTGAATAAAGATAAAACCAAAGGTCAACCTAGAAGAAACTTTGCCACTGTTAATCGTTATTTTGTCCTGATTTTTGTCATTGAGATCATCTGTCTTATTCATTCCACTTAATTATTCTTAGAGTAGCAGTGATTGCTTTTGATAAAGTCTCTGATAAAATGCTAATCGTATTAATTAATCAAAATAATTCATGCCTGACTAACAATAACTTTCTCTGTACATACATATCAGATTTCATCTGCTGTTATGGGTTCTTAAGCCATTTTATACTTCCCACATAGAATAAAATTAAAAAAATATCATATTTTTGATAGCGAAATTATTTTGATTTTCTCAGCGGTTTTTTAAAACGTATGAACTGATACAGTTATTGTAAATTGTCAATTATAAAATAATTTCCCGCGATTTTTATTCTTTGAAAGTGAGAGAATTCACAAAATTAGTCTAAGATCAACAGCGAAATCTTTTCAAATGTTTAAATTTCCTAAATGTCTACCATGCACTTAATATTTGTAAGCCAAGTTAGTGATAGATTGTTTTACAGATAGCTGTTTCATCGATCTAAATATGTTTTAAATATAGTGGCCAGTAGTGATATCCTAATGAGTGCAGCTCCTCGAAGTGACAGTCAAGACTGTCAAGTTGATGGATTCTAGGTTGAAAGATATAAAGAAGTTTTAGACTCACTTCCTTTTCGTTCTTTAAACTGTAATCACAATGGTAGTTGAGAAAGCAGCTTCTTCATTGTCTGCCTAATTCTTGTCGGAAATGATTGTAAAATCTATGTGATCCACTCAGCTACTTCACATGTAAATATCCAGGTTATATGGTCTGGTATCAAGTGTAACTGTTCTGATTTAATCTAGTGTTGCAATTAATGGATATGTTTACAGATAAGTTTTTAATTCAAAATCATATGCGTCCAACAAATAAGAATGAAACATTATCTTCCATGTAACTGTGCTGTTTCTGTGGCGGTTTTGATTGGAATCAACAATCTGCATTCAGAGAAATTAAATATTCATTAAAATTACATGCGGTTTCTCTCGAACATCCCTAAAACATTCTCAGAATCTATGTCGATAAATAGCCTGTTAGGTAGAATACAACAAACCAAAGTTAGTAGAAGTGTTTTTAAAATTCTGCATAATCATATTAGTCGGAAGTATTAAGTTTGCATTTATTATATAAGACAATTCAGTGATCGATGCTTAATCTTCTGTGATACAGCGATTGGTGACTGGGGAAAATGATTCAGGCAAATGCAGCTTAGATGTATTTTAAACCAGACAGAAACTATTGATTATTATAAATGCACAGCGTGATCGCTGAACTTTATATAAAATAATACTGTCATTCCTCATATTAGCTAATAATAATCACAGTCTGCTGACCGTCTGTTTATTTATCAGTTTTCAATAAAATCATAGATTACCGTAAGGAGACGTACATTTAGAAGTAAACTGCAGAGTTCAATCATAACATATTGATATGTTACATTGAATATTATTTTTAGGAATAAAGTAGAAATTTATCAAAATATTCATTATTTAAGTTTTAAACAGTACTTTTTGAACAGTGAATCAAATGGTGTAATGCAAGGAAATTAAGCTTTCTCTCTCTCATGATTACATAAATAATAAGATATACATGTATGTATACATAGTGATTGAATTGAAAATTAAATTCGATTTCAAGAATTTATCAAGAAAAAAGTTCTTTCCTTTCACACACAAATGCTCAAAGTGTAGACCGTTGTGTCGTTTTCTGGGCGTGTTTATTTCCAACTTCACTCAACTGACGATATTGTACGATCTCATTGATTGTGTTCACTGAGTAAGTTCGTCACACCTGACACGGTCTTATTATATCGTATGTTTGTCTGACGCAACGTAAAACAACAAGTACCAAGCTGACTAGCTAACTGTACTGTTACTATGCAGTTGGATATTTATATACGTGTAGTAGTAGTACTTCAAGAAGATATATTATAAAACAACAATTACGCAACGAACATTCATGTAACAGTTAACGTTATAGTTTGTGAAATTCTTCAACAATTGATAATAAAAAATATCCACTATGACTTTGAAAATTATCAATAAGATAATGTCCGTTCAAATAAATAAAAAACTCCTAATCATATTGACATAAATCATATTCTGTATATAAGTCATTTATACTTAGTTATGCTATCTATTTGATTCGAAATCAATCGTCAAACATCGAGCTTATTGATGTCAAATCGAGTTATATATATTCTAATGGTGTACAGATATTTGAATGGATGAGAATATATAAATGTCTATTTTTGGAATAGTAATGTGTTGTAGTGAGATTTTATTAACTTTCTTATAGATCGAAGCGAGGTTATGCAAGTCAGTACAAGTGGACTCATGATTTCAGTGAGACTTAACAAAGGATTTAAGCTGATAATTATCAAATCTAGGAATATGATTATTATACAAAGATTATTGGCTGACCGAAACCTTAAGCAAAATCTTTTGTTTTCAGTTGGCCTCTGTTAGTTTTACCTTTTTCTTATGTTTACGACAGTAAATTATCATTTGTCTGTATTTTCAAGATCCTAGCATCCATACCAATTAGTACATCAACATACACTATACAGTCATTTTGAATCGACTCATATGATGTTCAATAAATGTGTTAGCTCTTAATTTTCAAGTATGTCACTATTTTAGCTTTCACGTTAAACGTATTTAACTGACACCAGTGAAAACAGGCATAATAATCAACTCATTTGTTTCCTGAAACATAATTTCTCATGACTGAGAGAATTCATGCTGTATGTTATGAGGATTTTACAGGAAACTAAGTTAAAATCAATACAGTTGCAGGATCATGATCATGAAACGGGATCGCTCTGTACAGTTGAATTTTCACTAATTCAAGTTTAATGCAAAAATCAGTGAATGCAAACTCGCAAACTCAAATGTATCATGTACTTCACGAAACATGAACATCTTGTGTTTATACGTGAGTGTGATTGTGGATACATGAAGGCAGGACGAAATGGCTGCCTAATATTGCTCAATTTTCAATGTTCTATTAGTTGGTTTCACTTGGTTGACTGACGTCTGGGATGTGAAGAAATAATTTTCTGAATTCACAATTTCCTTTAAAATGAACTTCGTTATGGGCCGTTTAATGATAATAAAATTTGAAATGTCAATTTCAACACATCTTGTTTGTATTAGTTCATGCAACGTGATCTACATGTTATGACCAGTACTCCGCTAAATAGTTGATCATCACTTTGATCGATATATAACTGAATAAGATTTTTGCCATGAAATAAATTTACTCTTTGTTCTAAATTATGATTTGATTTTTGAAACTGGTAGAATAGTGTAAATTAGGCTAGAATACTTATACAGTAGAAAACAGAAGGGGATGAAATATTTTGTTCAGAAATATTAAACTTGCTTCCCTTGATATGTTAGTGAACTTAGTATATATATATATTAAATATATTCTTAAACAAATCACTTATTTCATAGTTTACATTATACATTAACTATTGAATTCATAAAAAGAACTATTTCGAGAATATTTTATTCATGTCACCAACTTTATTGTTAAAATCGCTAGATTACTATCATGATAAACTTTGTTCTCAATAAAGTCTCTCTTATCAAATTAAAGCGACAATACATGAATGAAGTTTATTTTTTCAATAAATTCTTTATCGATTCTACTATGATCTATGATCAAAATTATTAATCTAAAGTATCATCCACTTTAGGGAGAAAATACATAGTTTAACATTATAGCATGTGATTTTGGAGTTGTTTGTAAGATAAGATATAAGTTTTAATTGAAGAAGTGAAGCAAAGTTTCTTTAAGACCATTTCATTATTCACTTAAACTATGCACTCGCAATTATACTTCATTTTATTTGCATAAAATAATGGTCTATAATAAAACAGAATAATGCTGAATGATTTAAAAAATCTGAAGTTAGTATCCTTTCATTGACTGTTCACAAGAATCAGATATTTAAAGGAAGTTATGTAAGTCAGTGTAAGTTAACTCAAAATTTGATTGGAACCCAGCAATCTCCACCACCGTATACTGACAGCTATTATGTGGTTACTAGTAACTAGCTATCTGATGGAATCCTTTAAGTTCCAGAGTCAGGTGTGCAGTGGTCGGCCACCGAAGACGATGGGTTAGGTCACGCAGTATCGTAGATTGACTGAAGTTAAACTCTTGCATTTGGATAAATCACAGTGTACCTATAAATTTCAGTGCTCCTGTAGAGCAGAATACATAAGACGCATAAAGTAAACGTTCTCCAAAAATACTAGGAAACATTCGCATGCCTTGTTTTTAAGACCTCAATGTAAAACAATCAGCCGTTAGACACTGCAACTGTTTGTAAACACTGGTCATACTGCTCTACCTCATGAGTCATTTCAAAGAATCTGTAGAGTCAGACGATTCGATTCTTCCTTACGAACTCTTCTCATAGATGATCAGTTTGTAGATTAAAAGCCTAATCCGTGAAAGATAGTAAAAACTAAATAGCATTTTGTTTTTCATTTATAAGATCATGTAGATATATTTATGAATATATACATAAAATAGCTCATCAAGAAGGTGTTGATTGAAGCTCCAACAATTGTACTAATCGTCAACTAAACTAGATTCAGTGATACATCTTCTAGTTTTAAGCAATTTCTCAGTTTGAGGTGTAATATTATAGCAAATGTTTTATCAAGTGAGCTTATATACTTTCATAAACAAACATTCATGTAGCTATTAGTCTGTCTTGAAGCTCATACCTAAGCGAACTCATGGATTTATGGTGAGAAACTTGACCGTATTGAAGAGAGACAATTATTCACTAATGACATCATATAATTATCGCTTAATTTCGTGAATTGATTGAAGTTACACACTTAAACCAGTGGATACTAATCTACAGGTTTACAGATTAAGTTTGCGTTGCGATTTAGTGAAACAGATTAGAAATCTACTCATGCTACATTTCAGACATTCACCTGCTAGTAAATTCAAATATTCTCGGACATATTCTTCAACTCAACATTCAGTATCTGTTCCAAATGAAATAATAATCATGTAATTTCATTTCGTTTATGAAACTGGTTGCAAGTATTTTGTTTTCAAGTAATCAATAACTTGAACCTTCCTACTCTGATACTGATTATTCACTAAATTTTAACCACTGACATGTTTGTTTTAGACTTTAAACAATGATTGCATTCAATTGCATGGTTACG